GTAGATTGCCCAACCTTCCTTCTGAGGAGTGGCTGGTGGGTTTAAACTGCCAGCCTTCTGGTTAGCAGTCAAGTGCCTTAGGCACTATGCCACCAGAGCTCCTAGTTTATTAACTAGTATGTTAAATATTTTGTCATACTAGAAAAAGGGTGTTTTCCATACATCAAAACTGCTTTGGGTTATTTCTTTCAGTTGTGTAATTTTTGGAGAATAAAGTCCAAAAATATAAACTTAAAAATGAAAAGTACAAACGAAAATGTTGAACTTGAGGAGCTTAAACATATTTAACCACTAAGATTCAGCATATAATGGAAAATTCATCTAAACTCCACCTACTCCTCTCTAGGAAGGTGTCATCCTTACCTAGTGCCACTCTGACGGGAATATAGCACAGATAGGATGGCTTTAACAAACAAGAGTTTATTCTCTTACAGTTTTGGAGATTAGAAATCTAAGTTCAAAGTGTCAGGTCTTGGGGGTGGCTGAAAGCCCCTCAACCACAGGCTTCAGCTCTGACTCTTGCTTCTGGCCCACTGACGCTGGAGGTATCTCTTCACTCAGGCAGCTGCTGGCTGCTGAGGCTAACAAGCCCAAGGTAATGAGTAAAAATGTTACAGTCTGGATATTACCAGACCACACAGCAGGCCATTCATGCAAATGTCATTATCAGTCCCCAGATTGGCAGATAACATGGCAGGCTCCTGAACAATGACTCAGCTACATGCAGGATTCAAGTGTGCCAAAAGCTAAAGACCATTCCCAAAGCTTCTCTTTGCATATGAGGAGCATACCACATCCCTAAAGCAGCTACTCAGCTGTTCACAGCAGTTTCCACCATGGAGTTGATTGCTAGTCTCATCATGGGGAATAACAACCACCAGTTGTCCAGCCACTCAAAACCAGGCCCAGCCAAGTTGACACATAACCTTAACTACTAAGTCATTCCTAAGAAAGTCTTCTCCAAACCACCCCATAATCTGGACCCTCTGTTCATCCCCATGTCACTCAATGTTTGAGGAAAAAAAAAATATGGCATGTTTCTTGCATGTATCTTTTCAAGTAGGTTAATTGGTTGTCCCTTCATGAGATTTCTGGGATACCTGTGAAACTCTGTCCAAAGAAGTATAACTTATGCTTTAAACTGCAGGGTACCT